ACACCCTTGGATACATGATACGTTCTTAGATACTGGATACACCCTTTGGATACTGGATACGTCCTTAGATACTGGATATACCATTGGATACAAGATACGCACTTAGATACTGGATACACCCTTGGATACTGAATACGTCCTTAGATATTGGATACATCATTTTGGATACTGGATACGCACTTAAATACTGGATACATCCTTGCATACAGGATACGTTCTTAGATACTGGATAGGCTTTTAGATACGGGATACTTTTTTGGATGTTCTATATAGGTTTATTGGTGAAGGTTATTTTTTCTCTGTTACTGCTAATGAGGATGATGTGAAATCGATTGTGTTAATGTGAAAATGTGAATAATAAAAGAATAATAATAATAAGGGTGATAATAATAATAATAATAATAATAAGGGTGGTAATAATAATAATAATAATAATAATGGTGAAAAGTTTTTTTAATTATTATTATTATTGATGTTATTGGGACGAAACCGTTTGCATTGTATCAGAGTGACGGACGTACAAAAGCAGGATAGGTATTAGTCAGTCATCGCTTTGTTATCGTCGTCGTCTTCATCATCTTCATCATCTTCATCGTCCTCATCATCATCATCAACATCGTCAACACCGTCATCATCATCACTGTCCTATTACCATCACAATTATCAGCATCGTATTGTCATCGTCAACATTATCATCATCGTCATCATCATCACCATCATCATCATCGTCATCATCATCACCATCATCATCATCATCACCACCATTATCATCATCAACATCACCACCACCACCATCATCATATCATCATCATTATTATCGTCCTCTCCATCATAAGAACTACCAAAATCCCCATCATCATCATCCTCAACGTCGTCGTCACCCTCATTAATATTTCAGTATCACGTGTTCTATTACGTCACAATTAATGGATTCTCCCTCGTTGCGTCATTAAGGCAGTCCACACCACCTCCCCATTGCCGTTACCTTCTTCTGAGTCATACGCCATCATCATCGTCGTCATCATCATCATCATCATCATCATCATTATCATTATCATCGTCGTCATCATCATTCCCATCTCGCTCCTCCATTTTAAATTGTCCCATCGCTACATCTCTCACGACTTGTCACGAGAAACAATGGCGACTCGATGGTGACGGTGATTATGGTAATGATGACCTCATGATGACGATGACGATGATGTCATAAGGATAATGAAGATGACGTCATAAGGATGATGGTGCTGATGACGATTTTATCTTGAGAATGAGAATGACAATTGCGGAAAAAAAACAAGATGATAATGATGATAAATAACAACAAAATTAGTAAATAATATCAATAAGAATGCAATTGACAACGACGATGAAGAAGAAAAAGAAGAAAATAATGATGATGTGATAATCAAGATAATTATTATGATAATGATATCGATAATGATGATGATGATGATGTTGATGAGGCATTAGAAAAGTAATTACCTTCCCCTCCCACCGAATTGCAGTTTGCCTCTTTAGTCATCATCATTATCGTCCTCATCTGCGAAACCGCCACCATCATCGTCTGTGACGTCATCATCAGCTTCGTCTGTGACGTCATTATCATCGTCTTCATTCGCGGCATCACCATCGTCGTTATCTTCACGTGTGACATCATATTTGACAGTGACGTCATTGCCAGCGTCATCCTCATCAAAGTCGTCGCCACAAGTAGAGATGCCGTCATCTTCATCTTCATAAGTGACGTCATTTCCGTCGTCTTTAGAATTTTTTTTGATTTCCAAAACAAGTGTAAAAGTTTATCCTTAAATTATTAATTAAAATCAAACAAGAGCCAGCAGGTTACATGTCAGTATTTTGATTTTGAGTTCCGCGTATTAATAAAATATATGAAATAAAATACCATGTGCTGCTATGTGTCTGGCATTCTAGATTATTATTATTATTTATTATTTATTATTTAATTATTATTTTTATTATTTATATACACTCAACAACGCCTGATCATTGTCCTCATACTCGAAACAAAATTACTGATCGAATAATATGGATGGATTATTTACTCAATTCATCTGATTCTATTATAGTATGAATAGCAATAATAATTTACAATAATTTATAACAATTTTTATTATTAAATTATGACGTTAAAAATGACGTCATCGTATTAACAACAACAACACAACGAGCAACGATTTTTCAATTTGACTCTGCCTTTATATAGGACAGCGGAAAAAGAACTGCGTCCGTCCAATGCACGCGCGTTGTTTCATTTCAATCTCTCTCTCTCTCTCTCTGTCTCTCCTCTCTCTCTCTGTCTCTCCTCTCTCTCTTGCCTTCCTCCTCCCTCTCGTTCTCTCTCTTTCTCTCTCTCTCTCTGTCAGTCTTTTTGTCTTTTTTAACAAATATAACTAAGAATAACAATTACTATCAAATCTGCATGGTAATTCCACAAGGGTTCGTCATTTAATAAAATTCTTCCCCAACGGTTTTTTTTGAATCTATAAAACCCCAAATAAATGTAATAATAATTTTATTTAATTTATAATTCATGGACAGAGAGATAGTTTAGTGGTTGAGGCGCTTGTTTCCGCCTTCAAGTTACCTTGTTCGAATGCAAACAAATCCCTGAATTTCACATGCAAACCAGTCTAAAGCATTGGCTCTCCTATTCCATCGCCATAGCATCGCCTATTCCACTCGCAATGAGTATTGATACTTCTGATAAACTTTTCGAAAGACTAATAGTATTTAAATATATTCAAATTTTATTAAATTATTCATAAGTTCTAGCCTGCCTATACTTATAGGCATATTTTATCTTAATTTAAAGGGTTGCAGCAGTAAGCTTGCTGCTTGGCTTGCGTTGTGAGTGAGAACTGTTTATACAATAGAAGCACTCCTCACGTGGTAATAATAGCAATAATAATAAAAATTATGATAATAATAATAATAACAACAAAAATAGTAATAATAGGAATAAAAAAATATTAATAGCAATGAAAAGTTACTAATATATTTAAAGTGTTGGAATATTTGTAAAGGTGAATATTAAGAAAATAGTTATCGAAAATTTGTATAAGATGCAGGCATATGCGTGTTTAAATCATAAAAATAACAACCACAACAACAATAACAACACCACCACCAACAACAACAGCAATAGCAATGATAACAATAACATCAATAATAGTGGTGTTATTCGTTAAACAGCGGTAGGCTTTTCATGAAATGGATGTTACGATACATGATATAATATCATATACACACACACACACATATATATATATAATATAAATATATATATGAAAATACGGAAATTTACATATTCATAGTACGAGTACCTATTACACCGAGTTATTATCATTGTAGTCATAATATAACAGAACTCAGATCTGTTTGTGATGAACTTCTATGTATTATATGTGTATACCTAAATACATGCATGTAACAGCTGTATGTGTGTGTGTATGTATGTGTGTATGTATATGTGCATGTATGTGTGTATATATGTATGTATGTATGTACGTACGTATGTATGTGTGTGAGAACTCCGTTGAGCCAAATCATCGAGTAGTCCTCGAACGCTTCTCAATGATTGTTGATTTTTCAGGGGTGTTGATCTGCAATTTATACCAAAATTCAGCTTTATATTTCCATACGAAGTCGTCTCACTGTAGCCGTGGCTTGCTAATTCAGCAGACGCTCCTTTTTATTTCTAATCAGCCACAGCAAGTACGAAGCTTGCTCTGCGCTACTAATAACTTTCTTCAGACATGCTGTACGCTTCTTGCCTGACAGTCCCACCTCTTTGAAAAGTGAACACATCGACGCTCCCACTGTTCCTCTTGGCAGCTGATCACACATTCCTCTTATTAGAACAGCCAATGGGAAAGGAGCCTGTTCCAAATTTCTTTCCAACTGATGTTTCTCTGCAACACTTCCTCCCATGACGACCGTCTGCCCAGTTGAATCTGCTGCACTGATGCCACCACTCTTTCTTTCTCGTACTCATTACGTCTTCCTTCAATAATCATCTGACCTTGTTGTTGACTTTGGACGACCACACCTATTTTGAAACCAGCCTACGCCGTGTTTTGTGTTTTGCACAGCTCCAACAATCTCCTTAATATTCAAAAATTGTTCTGCCAAGTCTATTTCATTTTTGGCTTTCCATTTTCACCCGTTTTGACGCTGGCTTAACATGGAACATGGGTTATTATGCATTGGTCTGCCGAGTTGTCAAGTATCTATTGACATCATATTTTGGCTCACTTTAATTCCTCAACTACCAACTTGAAAGGTAGTTTCAAAACTGTCCTCCGACTATAAAAAGCAAGCGAAGTCAAATCCGTAGGCAGACCAAACTATTTTTTTGTATAACCGTTCACTTTTTTTTCAATTGTTCCTCCTGTCCTAAGGGTGAACTCGTACACTGAACCCATACATGTATGCATGCATGCATGCATGCATGTATGATTGTTTGTATGTATGTATGTATGTATGTATGTATGTATGTATGTATGTATGTATGTATGTATGTATGTATGTATGTATGTATGTATGTATGTATGTATGTATGTATGTATGTATGTATGTATGTATGTATGTACGTATGTTTGTATGTTTGTATATATATACGTAGACACATGTATGTAACAGTTGTATGTATGTAACTACTGTATGAATGAATGAATGCTACTCTAGTGCGTATCTTGATTGTTTTAAAATTTAAAAATAATGTTAATGTTGTAACTCAATTAAAATTGAATTAATTTGAAAATTAATAAATTTTAAATCGATAAAGTTGCCAAAATTAAATTATTTATTTATTTATTATGTTAATTTATTTTTTCAAATTTGCTAATTTTTTAAATTAACTTTAATTAATTAGATTAAAATCACTCATTCATTCATTTAGTCATTTATTCATTCGTTCATTCATTCATTCGTTCGTTCGTTCGTTCGTTCATTCATTCATCGATCAAGCGGTGATGAAGATGATCTCAGATGATGTATTCGATGAAGTGACTAAGAATAGAAGTGAGTGATATCATATATTAGATACATACATTATATTAGATACATACATTATTACATTAGATACATCCATTAGATACATACAATAGATACATAACATAGATACAGAACATTAGATACATAACATAGATACATACATTAGATACATAACATTAGATACATAGCAATCAATATAAATAAATACTCTAAGGATAATAAGCTAAAAATAACCAATACAATACCCAATAACATTCACAATACAGAGCAGTTACACAAACATAAATGGAAACAACAAACATAAATATATACATATTACATATATATAGAACATACTAACACCCGCACATACATTAATTTATAATTACAATATCATCATCATTATCATCATCATTATCATCATCATCATTTCATTATCATCATTATCATCAGTATCAGCATCGTAATCATTATCAAAATCACCATCATCTTTATCATCATCATCATCACAACAGTCATCACACTGGCATCTTATAGAAAGGGCCAGCTTTTGGTTGTAAGGTTGGAACGACTTACCCCAAAACAAGCCGCCAAATACGATGACGATGATAACGACAAAAATGGTAGTGGTAGTGGTGGTGATAGCGGTGGCGTAGGTGGTCGTGGTGTTGATAATGATCGCAAGAAGGGGGTGATGTACCAAGGGAGGGAGGGAATTTTTCGGGGCGTACTCGTTTTGAATGACAGACAAAGTAATACTAATGGACGTTATTTTATTATTATTCATCTAGTGTTATTATAATTATTATCATTATTATTTTTTTTTTCCATGTTGTTATTTAGTACCAGCAATGGTTCCATTACCACCATAACGCCAGAATAGTTAATTGAAAATAACCAAAAAAAAAAATAATTATACAAATTGTAATAATAATAATAATATTAATTTTTTAGAACCGCACCCCAAAGTATGCAAGCCCCACGTGATGACGTCATTCAACGCTTACGTAGTCGACACGTCACAACCAGGCGAGTTTCTGGAGAGGCCGCAGAAAAAAGTCTGGCCGATAGTTTTAAAAATTTTATCATTACTGCTACTGCTGCTACTACTGCTGCTACTACTGCTATTATGCAGCTGCTGCTGCTTTTGTGGCTATTACTACTAAAGTTGACTTCCTTGTAATAAATCTACTATAGCAAATATATCAGTACCGGCTCTCAATAAATCAGAAATAATTTCCATCGTCATTTTTTTCACCATCTTCTTTATTAATGTTATCGCATATTTATAAAGCGTCTAAAAATCAAAAAGTTTCTCAAAGGTTTTTTCCATAACAGTAAAATAATGGAACAAATGAATGGTCTAATCATTTCAAATTAATTGAAAATTACCCATAACGAAAGTAAACGTGTTTCCAGATTCTTTCAAAAGTCATCAAACTTCAACACAGGCATTTTTAGGCGAATTTGGCAAACCTTCTTATTCATTATCACAGTTGTTTTCATCATTAAAATCACCAAAATTTCCATTGCACTCTTTCTGACAGGAAAAGAGAACTTTAAAATTTTGGCTCTACAGAAGAACTATCAGCACATGTAACGAGGACAACAACAACAGCAACAACAACAACAACGACAACAACAACAACATCTGCGATATCTCCACCACCAAAACAAAAAACAACTCTCTAGCCAGCAACATCGACAACATCAGCAACAAAAATAACAACAACGACATTTCCTACAATGATGACGAAATCGACAAAATCACTACTTGCGCCGGCTTCATCCGACTTCTCATTGAGCCGGACACTTTCCCAGTTGGTCGGTTACTGATTGCTATATTACTAAACTTGATTACAATATTAAATCAGTCATACAAAGAATAAATAAAAAAAATCTGTAGCAGTAAACAACCAACCAGATTTTTAAATGAGCTAAACGCAACGCAGACAAGATTTAATTATTCCCTATTCAATAAATATTTAGTTTAGGTAACTTATTAGTGTCTGTACGTACTAGCTTTACTACGTTCGCCATTTTTTCGTTGTGTTTGTGAACGCTCATTAAACTAAAACCTGATTAAAAATTAAATTAAAATTTATTCTTATTTTATTATTTTTTTACATTTTTCTATTTTTTTTCAATCAGATAGCGTCGGATTTTTGAAAAAGGCACTGCTTCTCATGAGACAGCACGCAAAACTGAAGAGGGTTGACCTGGAGTTCCAAACTGAACCCGACGAAGTAAAAGAGGAACCAACTGAAATACCTCTTATCGGTCAGTCGATTTTCTAAGTTAGAAATTACAAATTAAATCAGAAATTACAAATTCGTCAATGTCTACTTTATGGAAGTGTAGTTTTAATTTGGTTTAAAATTTATTTGTTCATTTGTTTGGCAGAACATTTTTATGAAATTTTCAACTATGGATGGAAGGACGCAACGGCAACAATTAGTCATCAGCTAATTCATTGTTATTGATAATTATTCAATTATTGTTTCCATTTGAGTTTGTCATTTTTTAAACTTTCTAAATTTTATTGCATGTCTTCTTTTTGTTACAATGAAACGTTGAATGCGTTTGGAATTATTACCGCTGAGTCACCCTGCATTGATTTTTAAATTACGCTCTGTTTCACGCTATGAATGTCTGTCAACTTTCAATCACATCCGCCAAATGCATCCAAATGTAACCACATTCTGACAAAATATATTAGCAGACTGCAAATATAAATTCAACAATTCACAAACTCTACCTTTTCACAACTCACAATTTCCAACAATTTGAATTTCAAAATGTAAGTCTTTCAGTTACTTTTTGAAATTTGTAAAAAACTCCAACCCAACCTTTAGAAAACTTCATTACCGTCCTGACACCTGCCGCCTACGACTATCAATATCTGCCGGAAGTACCGGTCAGTCGGAAGTCTATGATCTGTTTCCGGTTGAAAGCGGCAGCAGACGGTCACGTGGCTTTATCCTACGTGTACGGAGACACGGACAGACGGACGTACGAGGTCGTCCTTGGGGCGCATGGCAACCGGAAGTCTCTCATCAGATATGGAGGGAAGGGGGAAGTTATGGTGGGTGACTCGATAGGGGGGTGGGTGGGGTTTTTATTTGTTTTTTAATTTTGTAGTTTAGGTTTAGATTTTGGTTATTTTTTCCCTATAAATGTTGTATGGAAAAATAGGGGAGTGTATGGAAGAACTGGAAATGAATGAATATCCACTATTGAACAAAGTGTTTTCTATTTATTCATTTTATAACTTTTATAATTTTTATAAAGTTCTGATCGCTGCAACAGATTCCGTGCTTATCAGAGTCTAGTTTGTTTGAGGATAAAAATGTATATGAACCGTTCGACCTTAAGGATGATGAATAACTTTCTGATTATCCAAAACATGAAGATAAGAAACTTCAAACGTTTGACATAAAAACATCAAACAATCAAAATCTTTAAGGTAGAAAATTGAGTTACTGATCCGTTAAACGAACCAGAGGGCACATGCAAATGAACAAACGATTGAACGAACAAACAAAACTGGAAAGTTAGCACGGCTCGATGGTGCAATAGTTAAAATGCTTGGCACCGATGCTAAGGTGACCGGGTTTGACTGCAATGAGATCCCCACACGTCACATAAAATGTGATGTTATGCGTGATTCACTTGTATTCACATATAATGTGTGTTTATTGTTTATAATTATAAAAAAAAGTGCCAAAAAGGAATTGTCAAAAACATACGAAAATGAATAAAACAGGTGGAGAGGCTCACTCCATCCATTCTGGACAGCGCTGAACTTCGACCTTTCTGGGTCAGCTGGAATGTCAACTGCGTCAGAGTTGGGAGAGGGCTGGAAGGTTGTGATGACGACGATGATGACGACGATGACGATAATGACGCTCTTCATAATCACCCGTATTTTATTTTTTACAAATAAATTACACAATCAATTATCACCAGTAGAAATTTTTCTAAAAATGCGTAAAAAGTGACGTCAGAATGACATCCAGCCTTCAAAAAGAGCAATGTCCTTGAAAAAGATGACGTCTATAAATAAACACACAGACAAGCACACACAAATTCATGTCTAAATACGCACACACACGCACACGCACACACACACTCCGTAACAGTCGACAAGGACTTGATAATGGAATGGACCAACATACCCCTTCATCAGCATCATCTGGTCAACCTCGTGTCAGTGTCTACAGGACCCGCCTCCGAAGGGAGATGGGAGTTTGTGGAGTACATTGGTCAGTTGGGGGTTGACCGATTGATTGATTGATTTGTTGGTTGATTGATTGGTTGATTGATTGATTGATTGATTGAACAAATTGATTGATCGTTTGTTTTGATATTTTGATTTTTTTTATACAGAATGACTTTTTTGATTGATTGATTTTCCGTTAGCACTGTTGATTAGTCGAAAACTTGTAACCGCTAAGTTAACCTGTAGAAAAAACTTTACAAAAAATGTTTAGAAATTGAGAAATTTCTTGGTGTAACAGTAAACTTTTAAGGACATTTTGAAGGATGACAGATTGAGATTTTTTCATCAAATAAATTTTAATTGCTGAGTAGTGAAGGATCATAGCACGCAGTTCCATTTACTTCGTCTCCAGGTAATTTCCGCGTGTATTTCAAAATTCGCCCTCACGAAGGCTAATCCACTCTTCAAATGATGAGATGAAATTATCGTCTCATAATTGTTCCATGATAGGAGTCGTAATAATTATTATTATAAAGTAGTGGTAGTTTTAGTAGTAGTAACAAATAATAATAATAATAATAATAATAGTAAAATTAGTAGTAGTAGTAGTAATAGTAGTGGTTGTAGTAGCAGCAGCAGTAGTAGCTTTAGTAGTAGTAGTAGTGACAGTAACAGTAATAGTAATAAAAATACAAAAATAATAATAATGAAAATAGAAATAATAATTTTAGACATCATGGAGAAATTAGGCGATCAAAAATTTTTCCGCCATGATGCTACGTTGCTCACGTCATCCGATTTGTGACTTTAAAGTTTTTCATCACGTGATGCGATGGCGTCACGTGATGTGCAGCCACAACTACTACTACTACCACTGACGCTACTACTGCTGCTACTATAATTATTGGTGCTCCTACTAATACGAGTAGAATTAATTAATTAATTAATTAATTGATTAATTAATTAATTATTAAACTTCATTGAGGGTTCTGGTTTTCTCAAAATTACTCTATCTCGAACTAACCCAGGACATAATATAGATAAAAAAAATTCAAAATTTAAAATATCGAACCATCCACTGATGACGTTATATTATATACTTCGTTGTTGACTTTGATGAAAAACTGTTTTGTGTACAAACTTTGTGTACACATAACATATATTAAAGTAGTCCAGAAGATGACTTTGTTCGAAGACCTCTCTGCCATTGTAGGTAGGTACAGGGAGTTTTTAAAATCCTATTTGACTGAGTCTGACTTCGAATGCCTGAGTTCGTAAAAACTGCAACAGTCTTTTTATCTAGCTTATTCCAATGTTCGGTAAATTTTTAGATAAACTTAATTTTGTGTTACTTACTAGTTCCATACGAGATGACGAAAGAATCAAAAGAATTAAGACGGCAGAAGATCCTGAAGTGCTTGGTGTGGTACTCGAAGAAGATGAAGATCATGGAGAGGTTGGAAGATGCTTTCCCGTGTTCACTTACTACGTCCCAGCTTCTCAAGTTGGTTGCTGATGTTGTGACGATGTTGTAGTGATGTTGCAGTGATGTTGTGATGATGTTGTGGTGATGTTGCAGTGATGTTGTGATGATGTTGTGGTGATGTTGCAGTGATGTTGTGATGATGTTGTGGTGATGTTGCAGTGATGTTGTGATGATGTTGTGGTGATGTTGCAGTGATGTTGTGATGATGTTGTGGTGATGTTGCAGTGATGTTGTGATGATGTTGTGGTGATTTTGTGTTGATGTGGAGATGACTATATGCTGCATGATTAAAAAAATTTTAAAGTTCGCACGGTTATGGTGAGGTAAGGTGTCAGTCTTTTACGTTGCAGTAACTCAATTCGAATGCTAGCAAGTCCCTGTCATACCTGCTTTTTTTTGTTACATATACATGTTTTTGTAGAAAATTGGTTTTTATAATATCAATATTTCACTTAGAATGGTATGTTAACATGTTTTTGTAAAAAAAATTGACAAATTGTTAGACAGAGCACGATAAAGTTGAACAACATGTTGGAAGCGGTAGTCTTCTTGAAGAACACACAAACTGGAGGGCAAGTCATTGAGACCAATAAGGGCATTTGGTTGAGGAGCCATTGCCATTCGTCAGATACTAGACATGGTTGGTTGAATGGATGGTTGGTAGGAAGGTAGGTAGGTTTGTTGATTGGTTGGTTGAATGGTTGGTTGGTTGGTTAATTTTTGGTTGATTGACTGATTTGCTGAAAGGTTAATACGCAGGTTTTTTATGTTTTCGTTGGTTGACTGGTTTAATTAGTTCTTGAATTGACTCTATCATCACAAATTAAAGATTTCATTAGTCTGTTGGTTGATTAATTGTTCAGTTTTGTTTGCTTGTCAAATCATTGTATGATAAATATCTTTATCAAGCTAAACGAAAGCTTATCTGATAAAAAAGCTGGGAGATTCGTTAAGAGTTCTTGCATTGAAACTACATTGTGAACAATTTTTCCATCGTAACATTACTGCCATATTCAGAGTTGAAACTCGTGCCATGCCTGCCTCGTCTCAACCAAACGAACGCGCCAACAGTCGCCATCGTTACGACGTCGTACGCTGAAAAAATAGCGGTAGACGCCATGTTTGATGAGAAAATTTCGTACTTCATCAAAGGAGAAAACGAAGGTGGGTTAGAGATTTCGGTTTCATTTCGTCGGGATTGTACTAACAGCGCAAAAATCAAATCTAACTGGTATAGTTAATAAAAAAAATTTAGAAAAATTATGATCTTAAATAAAAAAAACTTCAGAAAACAGCATTTTTACCATTGGAAGAATGGCCAACAGAGTTGTGGTGGCTACGAAGTTGGGTAACTTTTCGCCAGAAACTGGCTGCAACGAGAAGCATGCTAAAACTGTTGCGAAGCTCATTGGTTGGTCTGTTTTGTTGTAATTAATGTTGTCGTTGTTGTTGCTGTTAATGTTGTTGTTGTTGCTATTAATGTAGTTGTTGTTATTGATGTTGTATTTTGTTATATTGTGGTTTTGCTGTTAATAATGTTGTTGTTGATGTTGTTGTTGATGCTGTTTTACTTCGTTGAGTTTGGTTTATTGTGTTCTATTACAGAAAAGTCTATATAACAATGGTAACAGATAATAATATGTAGTTGCAGTTATTTTTATCCGCTAGTTTGGATATTTTTCAAAATTAAGTTTTCTCTCTTGCTTTCCTGCCATCTTTTGAATGGTTGAAACAATTTTTCATTAGAATTACTACAACTAATGAAAATAATTACGGGGCAGATTATGCAAAAAATTACATCAAAACAATGAATGAATAAATAAATTAATTAACTAAATAAATGAATGAATAAATAGATAGATAGATAAATAAGCAATAAAACTATATTTAAAAAAAGTAAATTGAATAAATTTTGAATTTTCTTGCCTAGCTTCACTCCCCTCCATAAGATATTTGTACTTGGTGTCAGTTGGTGGTGCGGTACCCCACTACACGAACTTCGAGCAGCACTGTAAACGCGGAGATGTCGTTTTTTCCGGCCCCCGCCCTACAGATGGCGCCTTTTACGTGGTCTGCCCGGAAGTCGATGACGTAGAACCGGAAGTCGACCCAACTGGAAATTCGGCGTTTTTTCCGACGAGTTGCTGGAATAGTGGCGATGATGGATTTGATTCGCTGCAGAAGAGGGCGGCCATTTTGGTTGACGGGTTTAATAACAACCGGAAGTATGAAAAGTGGAGGAAATGGGATAGGTTGGTTGTGACGGTGTGGTGTTGTGATACTGTTGAGCGCCGTTCATTGGCCTAAGTCATTTCTGCTGCTTGATTATGATGTTTACAAAAGTCAGCTAATTTAATTACTCTTATATACGATTTCAACTTTACATATTCCACATATTCCACAATTAAATCTTTAAAAATTAATGGGCGATAATATAGAAAAGTTATTTTTTTTTATAAATAAATAAAGTAGAATAAAACTAAATCCAACAATACAGTTTTGTAGAATCAGCCCAGCAGAAACTCGTAGCAACGGACGAGCGATTCCTCAGGCCCTCTCAAAAGACCGACAAGTTGCAGGCGCAACTCGATATTCGCCAACCGCCAATATTCGTATCTCACCCACCGTGCCCGGCTAACAACGTTCGCCGAGAGAACCAGGCATCTCTGAAAATCGGCGCAATCGCCAGTGGCGATTGCGTGTCTCGGCATCATCTATACCGGCGAATATTCGCGAATCAGAATCGAATCGCTGCCTACGATTGCGGTCTGGACAAAATAGTGCAGGCCATTGTGGACAGCAGACTCGGAGGCAACAATATGGAGATTGTTTTAGGGATGTGCGATTATTCCGATGGACAGGTCGGCAAGTCGTGGCAGCCGTACGCTGCTTTGGTCGCTGCAGCTGCTTGCAAAGTTTTGCTGGTGGATGTTTGAAAATTTTTCGATTTGTGATAGGCTGGTCGAGGATTGATGATTGGATGATTTGTGATTGGATGATTTGTGATTGGTGATTAGTGATTGGATGATTTGCGATTGGATGATTTGCAATTGGATGATTTGTGATTGGTGATTTTTGATTGGACGATTTGCGATTGGTGATTTGTGATTGAAAGATTTGCGATTGGATGATTTGCGATTGGTGATTAGTGATTGGATGATTTGCGATTGGTGATTTGCGATTGGTGATTAGTGATTGGATGATTTGCGATTGGATGATTTGCGATTGGTGATTAGTGATTGGATGATTTGCGATTGGATATTTGCGATTGAATGATTTGCGATTGGATGATTTGCGATTGGATGATTTGCGATTGGATGATTTGTGATTGGTTGACCGGATGATTTGTGATTGGATGACTGATTGTAATTAAGAATATTTCTTAAACGATAGATTGATGAATGTGTTACTAGCTATATTTGAATAATCCGTGTAAAAATGAAAATTGTTTATGAAAGATTTTCTAGCACACGCAGAGAGGATTGTTTGTTTGATGTCCGCTAAAATGATATAATGTGTTAAGTTTAAATGAATAATTGTGTTAGTTAGTTGTAGTTAACATTATTTGATTTTTGTCATACACACACACACACACACACACACACATATATACACAGATATGAACACACAACCGTATAAATACACACACACACATCCAAACACACATATATAAGCATGCATAAAAAAAATACACACATACACAGACACACTCACTTATCTGCACACATACACTCATTAATCTATGACCTATTTCACTTAGAAAAATCTAGCTATTTAATTTTGAAATGGCAAATTTTTCTAATTTTTATGTGTTAGCTCTTAGGGTATTCTCTCTTTATAAAACTTGTATTTCAAACATTTAAAAATAATTTAATAGTTCATTCAGTTTCATTTCATTTTATATTAAAAATTATTTCTTATTGTTATTAATCTCTTAACATATAATAATAGTAACAATTGAATACGTCAAAAGCCGTTTATACTAATATTTTTAGTTATTTTTAAAAATTTGTTACAAAGATCTGTTGAACTTGTTTTTGTTGATACATTGTTCTTTTTCTCATTCATATTATGATTTTTTTTTCTCAATTATTTTTTTAACAATTTTAATTTTTCATAATTTTAATTTTATTAAAAAATTATTTTCATGATGTTAACTAGCATCTAGAGAAGATATTTTATTAGTTTATAAGAATTTACATAGAATATTTTATTTATTCATTTATTTTATTTTATTTTATTCATTCATTCGTTCGTTCGTTCGTTCGTTCGTTCGTTCGTTCATTAATCCATTCGTTCATTAATCCATTCATTCATTCATTCATTCATTCATTCATTCATTCATTCATTCATTCATTCATTCATTCAAATTTTTAATTAAAACCTTGAAAATTATTCTACTTTCGAATCTTTTTTTACTACACATAAACGCAAACGCATACCACACACACAAACACACACACACAAACACACATACACAAACAAACAACACACTCACATACACACACACACACACACAACAAACAAACAACATACACATACACACACTTATATATTATTAAATATCATAGCTATTACCTTATGACAATATATGCGGCTTTTAGTATATTTATTTTTCATTTATTTTTCTGTGCTTCGGTACAGTTACATATTTCCATTTTTTGTTGATCATCACATGTCACACCTGCACTTTTGCAATTTTTTCCATTTAGACAAATGACGTCATTTTTCGAATTTTGAATTTATAATTTAAATAAAGATCTTGTTTAAGCCAATCTCGAAAGGTTCAAAATTATCTTAAAAAATTCCTTATCTGGCCAGCCATACCCCAAGGCCCTGGGACCTCACATTAAATGGGCCTCACCATTAAAGATAATGTAACTTAAACTGTTTAGAATAGTTAAGATCTTTCACTGAATAGCTAAGGGTTTTCACTAAACTTCCACTGAGTGGTACTGAATGATAAGGGGTGTCCACTGTGATTTATTGAGGGCCGCCTTATTTTCGTTACCCAGGACCTTCATATCAGTGAATCCTGTCTGGTTGATTGTGTAAAATATCGCAATTTTAATTATTCAGATTTATATATTATGTTTGTAGCTTTTTTTTGTATTTTTATTTCAATCTATTTCCATTCAACGCAGAGAAAAAGTGTTCTCATTATCTTAATGTGGATGACAATGATAGATTAAAAATACAAAGTATAATCATTATAATTTTTTTCCATTTTTTACAAACACTGTTCAAGGTTGACAACCGTCAAAAAATTCAAATTTTTAAATAATTAATTGATTAATTATCTATTTAACCAGCTATTCACCCAATCAATTAATGAATTATAAACTCAGTTAAGTGCTTATAAATAGACGATTGACACTAATCATTCAAAATAGTTTAGTACAACACACGACAAATAGTTATACTTTTTTTTCTATAAAAACCATACATTCTCATACTATAATTTAATATCACATTTTTGCGCTTCTTAAAACTAGCTCCTCATACAACGCTGCTTTTTATAGGCTGCCAGAACTGCTGCGTGGAACATGAATGGCTGGGATCGCTCTTACCCGGTTTCCTATTGGCCGAGGTTGGAGTCCACGGACTAATAGCAGGTGAGCAGTAGGAAGGGGTCGTGCATATGATTGGACAGTGAGATTTCGTTATTTGGTCTGATAGGTTGGTTTGATATTAAATTTGAAATAATTGTTTAGTTTTTAAATAAATAAAAAAAAACTAATATATCAAGATATAAACCAACGTAGACAAACAAACGAAGGCAGGGTCTAACTAACCGACAAATTTAATTTTTTTCTCCGGCCTGACGAGAGATATAGTGTTGAACTTGACATCTGATCTATGACCTTCACCCTCTACCTGACCTTCAACTTCAGTTTGTTGACCTTCCTGTGCAGCGGAGATGGTGTGACAAAATTTCTTGAAAATCGTTTATACAATTATAACGATGTGTTTGTTGTTGTTGTTGCTGACTTGTTGTTGTTGATGTTGTTGTTTTTGATGTTGTTGTGGTTGTTGTTGAAGTTGCAGTTGTTGTTGTTGTTGTTGATGATGATGTTGCAGTTGTTACAATTGAAAGAATTTATTGCGTGTTGATAATAATTTAGAATATAAACTAAAAGAACAAACACTAATAACATTCAGAACAAAACACAAATACAAAATGTGAACTATGAACAATTTTCTAAAACCATTTCAAATTAGCAAAGCAAACATAGTTTTTTCTAAAAAAAAAAAGTTAAAAAATCGTGTCAAGTATAAAAATTTCTAAATTTTAACGCCAAAAAAACACCCCATCACTAACAAATAACCATTTGAAGAGTGATGAATCATTGTGCCAGTATAAAGATCATTTGATGGATGTACCGGCGTGAAAAAATTACAAAAAAATTTCCGAGGTTTGAATCAGTTGAAGTCAAAATTGAAAATCTGTGAAACTTTTAATGAAGTAAGGAAACTTTTTAAATTTTAGGAAAAAATTTAGTAGCAGACGTTCTGCAATCGTGAATCCGGTTTTAAAAATAAATTCTTTGTGTAGTTTGATGGATAATAGATTTGTATCAGCTGAGACAACAAATGTCTTAAGATTCAGAGGAGTGCCAGAGCAGAATCCATGCAACAAAAAAAGCAACAAACATAGAACTATGTAAACTATAAACTACGTGAATCAATATATACACATATGTGTGTGTTTGTGTGGACGTGTAATAATATGTTCCGATATTTCACATGTAATTATCAACTGTTGTTCCACTAAATCTTAAAGGTAACACACACACACACACACACACACACACACACACACACACACACACACACACACACACACACACATGTGAATGCGAAAAAATCCAAACACATAATTCATCTGTTACATTTTTGATGGGCGGGGATATTTGTGTATTCGAACTTTGTATCTGTGAATTAAGGATTGGAAGCCGCAGTTTCAAAGTGAAAGACATTTCACAACGTGCTATGATTAGTAAAAATAATCTTTAAAATGATCATACATACACAAACACACACACACACACACGCACGCACACACACGCACAGAGACGCAGAAATAAAATGAAAGACCAGTAGGCACGTTTTAATTCCAAATTCTAAGAATGGAAAATTGAGCGATAAAAAGTTATGAATGAAAAAAAAAGCGAAATAATAATCTTTGATAATCCTCAAAGATTAATTAGCGGGAAATTTTTGAAAATTAAGAGGGAAAAAACGGAGAAAGTCTTATTTTTATTCTTCGGTTTTTCAAAAGATACGTCATTCGTTGCGCATGGATGGACTGAATGAATTGAAATTGAATGTATGAATGAATGTATAAATGAACGAATGAATGAAGGAAAGAATGAATGAATGAAAGAACGAACGAACGAACGAACGAAGAAATGAAAGAAGAAGCGAACGAACGAGCGAACGAGCAAATGAATGGTTGAATTAATAAATAAATTAATTAATTAATAAACTAAAGAATGAATGAATGTATGAATGAAAGAAGAATGAATGAACGATTAGACAGACGAATAAAAGTTAGAATGAACGACCAAATGTACAAAATGTAAGCACGCCACTTCATTAACATTGCAGAGGCTCCAGCTTTTTTTCATCATTTTTCATATTATTTTTCTTTCCTTTATATTTTATTTCTTCTTTCGCTCTTTTTTTTCATCTTTCATTCTCTGCCCTTCTTTCTTCCTCTCCTTCTCTCTCTCTCTCTCTCTCTCTCTTCATTTATTCTCCGTCAATTTTTTTCAATTTTTCTTTCGAGGTCTCACTTTTTTCTTCTTCATTCAGTCTCTCTTTCTCTCTCACTCATTCTTTCCCTTTTTCTCTCTTTCTCTCTTTATCTCTCTCTCTCTCTTTCACTTTTTCACTCTCTTTCTTTTTTTTCACTGTCTCCCTCTCTCTATCTAACATGTCTCTTTTACATATATCGCCATCCTAATCATAACCAACATAATCATCATCATCGCCATTACTATCATTATTATTATCATCACCACTATCATCATCACTATCACCACCATCATCATCACTATCACCACCATCATCATCACTATCACCACCATCATCATCATCATCACCATCTTCTAACTCACGCCGGCAGCATGTACGTTTTTAATTTAATTTTATAATGCATCCGTGAGTTTCTTCTTCACCATGATGATGATGATGACGATGACGATGACGATGATGATCATGATCCTAATCGTGATGGCGATGATGATCATAATGATGACGGCAATGATGATGATGACGATGATGGTGACAGAGATAGGAGGACATTATCTTAATAATTATATCAATAAGATGATGAATGATGACGATGATGATCATGATGATCATGATGGTGATGATGATGATCATGATGATGTCGATGATGATGATGATAAAAAAACACTACCAACAACAACAACAACAATAATAATAATAACAACAACAACAACATTAATAATAATAAGAATAATGATAAAACGGTCTACACGGTAATATGCACAACCTCAATGTAATCACCGGAAATGGATCGATTGATTGAAAAAGTGGATGACGTCAAGATCGGTAAGCGTGGTTTGCGCTGCTGATGATGATGCTGCAGCAGCTGTTGTGGTTGCTGTGGTTGTTGTGGTTGAAGTTGCTGTTGTAGTTGTTGTGGCTGTTGGTATTGCAGTTGGTTTTGATAGAAGTGAAACTGCTGACGAGATTGTGCATGTTGGAGTTTGTCTTGATGATGTTGTTGTTGATGTTGTTGTTGATGTTGTTGTTGTTGTTGCTGCTGCTGATGTTGTTGATGCAGTAGCGGTTGTAGTATCAGGTGGTTGTTGCTGTGGGTAGCCATGGAGCTGACCTCGTTCAGGTGTTCAAGGTCACAGTTCACATCTGCGGTTCATATAATTCATCTATCATTCTATTTTTAATATTTTATTATTATTATTGTTGTTGATGTTATTAATTTTATTATTATTATTATGATTATTATTACTATTTGTGTTAATAATTTTTTTTGTTGTTTTCATTTAAATGTTTTTGATGTTTTTAAATGGAAATTAATGAAATTTTGAGAACTCTTGGAAGTTCCATTTGGAAACGAATTTAGAAAAAAAAATAACATAATTATTATTAATTATTATTATTAATTAATTATTAATTAATAATAATAATTAATTATTATTAATTATTATTATTAATTATTAAAAATGCCAATTTGTGTGGCTCCATCGCTCCATCGACATTTTCCGAAAGACTTCCGTGTTTAAAAAAAGTTATAATTTAAAAAATTTTTCTTCCCGCTGGCTAAATTTCTTGTTTTTTTTTACAGAGACTTTCTAAAAATGTTTTTCTAAGGGGCGGCAATCCCTATCCATAGCCCTCAACACCTCCACATCTTGACGACAATGGGTGTTCAAACAAACAAACAAAAAAACAAACAAACAGGCAAACAGGAAGACAGACGGACAGAAAGAGAGACAGACAAACAAAGAGGCAGACAGATTAACAAACGTGTGTGAGACCGGAGGAGCATGAGATGCTCCCTTCGTAATTGGCTTGTCTTCGGACCCCCGCATGACTGCATACCGTCTTTTTCTGTTGCTAAAAACGTTGCTCTATTATTGTTGTTGATGTTGTTGTTGTTGATGTTGTTGTTGATGTTGATGTTGTTGTTGTTGATGTTGTTGTTGATGTTGATGTTGTTGTTGTTGATGTTGTTGTTGTTGTTGATGTTGTTGTTGTTGTTGTTGTTGTTGTTGTTGATGTTGTTGATGTTGTTGTTGAGAACGCTGATGTCATTAACGTTAGGAGTTGTCACATTGCTAAGAGTTGCCAGCGTGTTGCTGAGAAAGTTGTTGCTATTGCTAACGATGTTGTAATTGATGTAATTGGTTTTGCTGTCGGTTGAATGCTTGCTGTTGGCGTAGATGCTGCAATCCGCTTCGTCGCAGCTGTCGAGTTGAATGTTGATGTCTTCAATGCTGTTGATGTTTTCCAGCTCGTTAATGTTAGCCAGATTTAGAATACTACCTGCCAGCATGCTGTTGCTGATGTTATGATTGTTATTACTGTTTATATTAGTGTTGATGTTTTTGTTGTTTCTATTCCTGAAGTTGTTTTTACACTCGTAAATTGGACTAGTGTTATTAGTGCAGCCTTTGTAACTCAAGGTCTCAGACGTCTTTCGTGCGTATTTCTTGTTGTTGTTGTTGTTGCAGTTGATGTTGTTGCTGTTGCTGTTTCTGTTGACTCGGGATATGTTATTGAGGTTGAACATTGAGCAATACTGTAGGGGTTTTCGTTGTTGCGATTGTTGCTGCGATTGTTGCCGAGATGGTTGCTGCAATTGTTGCTGCGACTTTTGTTGCAATTGTTGTAAAGCAATTTCTGCGTTCTCGGCATTAGTTAGATGTTGTGATTTTGTTTTAAGCTGCGTAGGCTCCTTTTTAGATTTGCAATCTTTCGACGATACGCCCGTGACATCACTAACGATCAGTTGCTTGTTTGATTTGCACTTCTTATTGCTGTCGTTGTTGTTGTCGTTGTTGTTGTTGTTGTTGTTGTCACCTTTATTATTATTATTATCATTATTCGTATTTTTCTTTTTAATGTTTTTAATTTTCTCGCTCATGTTTAGCACACCGTCATCGTTGTTGTTGTTAGTCTTCTTCTTAGACTTCCGTCTCATTTTACGCTTGACCTTTGACTTCAGCCCACCACCACCGACCTCACTACCGCCACTAACGCCACTGGCACCGTTACTATTATCAACACTGTTACTACTGCCACCACAGTTTCTACCAGTAACCACTATTTCGCTATCACGCCCGCAGCAGCAGCAGCAGCTTCTTCGGTGACAAAATTTTTCCAACGGTAAGCACTTGGAGCAATTTTTATAGAAAATGCAGTCGCCACAACGGCCACCACAACAGCCACCATTTTGCCAACGTCTCCTGTTCAAATCCTGTCTTTGTCGTCGACGTAACTTAGCTGTGGCTACCAAGAAAGCCACCATTACTACAAAACTGAGAGCCGACACGCTTGAAAGAATCATCAACATAGATGACAAGGTGGGTGTGAGTCTTAGAAATTTTTCGCCGAGGTTCGTTTCGTTTTTATGATTGTAGACGTCATCGTCGTCGTCGTCATCGTCGTTGTGGCTGTTATCGCTGCTGTAGTGGCTGTCGAAATCGTCAGTGGGGTTGTTGATGTCGAAGAAATTGTATTTGGGAGGCATTGGGAGGTCCCTGATGGTTACGGAAAGGTTGAGATGGGAGTGAAGATAGGGCAGACCGTGGTCCCTGGCTGTTATCTGGAGGGTTATCACCTGCAAGGTACATTCAGTAGAAGTATGAAATTATTTGTAGAGCTCTCTAATTTAGCGTCAACATGCCAATAATTTGCATTTAAAAAAGTTTAAGAACAAAATTTTCAACAATTTCTTGTTCAAATCAAAGTTACAATATTGATCTTGAGGAGTTTTTTTGTGGAAAAGCCCTAGTCCTACTTCAATCCGGCCCTGAATAAAACTATCAAACAGATGAATAGGTAGATTTTTGAAACAATATTTCACAGACTGACAATACTAAAAAATTCAAATCTTGTTAATTTATTTTCATTCACTAAGGTCTTTTAGTTTATTTTCAAACCTCTACCTTCGCGCTGAATCGTAAAATTTTTATTTGTAAAAAATCTGTAAATTAGTAACTCCAGAAAAGTTTTAAAACTTCTTTTACATAAAAAACTACCTAAAAAATCAACAGCAAGAATTTTCAAAACACTCCGTAAAATAAGTCTGTTGAGTGGCGCTGACCAAACGCGGAACTCATAGGAAATAAAGCCCAATTTTGTGGTCACTTAGGTATAGGACGATTTGAATGATTATAAAACACCGGCATTGGTGTGTGTGGTGCAATTATTACAGCGGGTAGGTGGGTTACTAAAAATAGACCCAGAAGAAACAACATCGAAAAGACAGAATGAATGAGAACGACAGCCGAACGAAAAACACAAACACATGTGGACAGTTTGACACGTAAACAATCATAGAACCACACGTACTATTGCTCTGATGACGATAAAGCAAACAAACGAACGAACAAACAAACAAACGAACAAACATATAAACTAACAAACGAACGAACGAACAAACAAACGAACGAACGAACGAAAAAAAAAAGCAAAAAATAACATTAACAAGTAGCTTCGTTAAGACTTAAAAATAATTATCATAGGTATAGTTGACTTCCCAGAAAAAAGGTTGTTTGATTCAAATTTCGACTTCAGTTGAAGTTGAAAGCCAAAACCAATTAAAAATTTACCAACGAAAGTTCAGTGAGAGTGTAAAACTTCTAAGAAATGAAGTTGTAAATCTGCAATGGATCAACATGTAGTTGTACCATCGGGATATGTGAGTCACGTAGCAACAAGTTTTTTTCGTATCTTAGTTTAATCGCTTTTTATCACCTTATTATTTCTGTAATAACAAATTAAACTGAAAAATTTTGCTTTAATCAAAAAGTAATAGCAATAGTAATAGTAGTAGTAGTAGCAGCAGCGATAATAAACGTCACAAATAGAATAGTAATAATAATAATATTTGATTTTTTTTAATTAATTTGTTTGAAACTTTTAGCAGGATTCACGAAATGTAATTATTACAATAATATAAATAAAAAAGTAGTAGTAGTAGTAGTAGTTACAGGTAATAGTAGTAGTAGTAGTAGTAGTAGTTCTAGTAGCTGTAGTAGTAGTAGCAGCAGTAGTAGTAGTAGTAGTAATAGTAGTAGTAGTAGTAATAGTAGTAGTAGTAGTAGTAGTAGTTGTAGTAGTAGTAGTAGTAGTAGTAATAGTAGTAGTAGTAGTAGTAGTTGTAGTAGTAGTTATAGTAGTAGTAGCAGTTGTAACAACAAGAGCTTTAGTTTAGTAGTAGCGATAACAACATAAAACTGTGCTAAAATGTTTATTGCTCAGCGCGTAACGAACTGTGAATAAACGAAGTTTCGTATGCTTGACTGGCTGAGGTGCCAATATATGGCATTCTGTGGGAAATAAGACTGAGAGTCTGCTTGTTAGTGGTGGAGTCTGGTGCTGTGAAGATGAAGGTGATGATGGGTTGATGACGGGTAATAGCACGCACACACACCACACACACACACACACACACACATTCAAATGTGAGATCACAATGTGATCACTTTTCTGGCGAGTTAGCTCAGTCGGTAGAAGTGCCATTTCTCACGCTGTTGTTTGGCGATCACTTGGTTCGAATACCGTCTGCCGAAAACTCAAAGACTCTCACACACACCATGCGAAGTTCGCTTAAGTGATAAAGAAGCTGATGATGATGATGTGGTGTGTTGGTGATGACTTAGATACAAACTGTTTTAAAATCTCCCTATACAAACATCCCTTTCAAAAATAGTTTTACAATTTTTAATTCAATTTTTTTTTCATTTTTATTTAAAGGCATGGCCGCTAAAAATAGCAAGGAGGAATTTTTCTGCTCAGCGTATGCCCGGGAGACTTGAGAGTTAATACAATACAAACGAAAAACTACAAAAACAAAATGAAAAAAGGATGAAAAACATTGATGAAGATAGCATGGATACAAAGACCAAATAAAAATAACGAGAATAAAACTCACAAAAACACGTACAAACACACACACACACACACACGTACAAAAACACACACACAAACACGTACGTACATACACATGCGCGCGCAATAGATACAAATAACAAAAAAAAATTAACGTGAAAATTACTCACACAGACACAAACACACAATCAAATGAACACACGTACGGACACACACACGTACAGACATAAATACGTACAAACACACGCACGTACAAACACACACACGCACAAAGGCACGCACGCATGTCAATCCCACTCATGACGCAATCGGGCCGTTTTTATTTCCTCAAAGAGTTCGTGCCCTTAATTATGTAATAGTGCAGAGCGATTTTTTAATCAATTATTATTCGAATATTTCAGATTTTAAATTTGCATTTTTTGGTATTTTCTTAAATTTTTATTTTCTTCTGTTTTTACATCACCTTCGTATTCCTCTTCTTCTTCTTTTTCTTCTTCTTCTTATTATTATTAAACCCGTGTTTCCAAAACCATACATGCAAGCAACAATAACACAAGTAAAATATGATACATATATGTATTCAAACATGCTAAAAGACGCACATACAAAGAAAGACGCACACTCACACACCCACAGCTTCTAAATTTTACTTTATTTTAGAACGTAGAGAGCTTTTTGAATAAACACAGACTCCTATATCTGCAGTTTTTTTTATGTGTTTCTTCCCTCTAAGTAAACCTCTCTCTCATACTTTCTATCTCCCACTTTTTTTTTTCTCTCTCTCTTTTTCTTATCTGTTAATCTTTACTATTTTTTTGTTTCAATATCTTACTCTTCGTTTCATTTGTTTCTGTTTTTCTCCCTCTCGTTCTTCATCTTTCTTTGTCTTTCTCTCTGTACATCTTTTTCCGTTACTCTCTGTGTTTCTCTCTCTTTCTTTCTCTCTCTTTATCTCTCTCTCTTGGTTGGTTTTAATTTTATTTATTTTTCTCTCCACTTCCTCAGCATTTCTCTTTTACCCTCTCTCTTTCACTCTATCTCCCTCTCTCTCCCTCTCTCTCCCTCTCTCTCTCTCCCTCTCTCTCTCTCTCCCTCTCTCTCTCTCCCTCTCTCTCCCTCTCTCTCTCTCCCTCTCTCTCCCTCTCTCTCTCTCCCTCTCTCTCTCCCTCTCTCCCTCTTTCTCTCTCTCCCTCTCTCTCCGTCAAAACTGCACATCTCATTAATATGAACACGGAGATCTAGTACTCCCTTGAGAGGCCGACTATCTGAAGAAAAAAAATTTCCGGTGAGAAAAGAGTCCAAAAAAAGTAAGAGGAGTGAAAGAAGAACAAATGGTAATAAAAAATGATAAAAAAGTGAATGAATGAAAGATTAAAATAGGATGAATAAATAAACGAATAAATTGAAGATAATTAATGTTTAGAGAATGAAAGGAATTGAAAGAGTGAATGGATTGAAAATGATTGAAAATGAGATGATGGGAAGAGGGAAAAAGGAAAATAGAGATAAAGAGAGAGATAGAGAAAAAGAAGAAAGAGAGAGAGAGAGAGAACAAAAAAATAGTGAATAATGAGATATAATAATTAACTCCACCACTAACATAACGATCCCACAAATTTATTCACTCATCTGTTTCAAAACATAAACTTTATTGAAAGTAAGACACGCTTCAGCAATACAATGATGTTGGCTGAAGCACTGACCCGTCAGGCTCGCATTTTATCTCTGTCATTCTCTGTGCTTCTCTCTCTCTTTCTCTCTCTTTCTCTCTTTCTTTCTTTCTCTCTTTCTCTCTTTTTCTTTATTGGTTTACTTTTATTTATATAAAGTTCGGGCATATATACGTAGAACCTCAAAAGTGAAAGCCAACAAATGGATGAATAAATGAATGAGTAAAAAAAACGAATTAATAACTGAATGAACGAATGAAAAAAAGGAATAAAGGATAAACACCACCTTGCCAACTTCGGAGCCATTGATGGGGCGCACTGTGATGAGAAAACCCCTGAAAGCGTGCAACTTGAAGAGGCTGCTGTCGTTGCTGGCTGTGACGTCATATCTGACGTTTTAGATTTGATTGATTGATTGATTGATTGATTGATTGATTGATTGGTTGATTGGTTGGGTGATTGATTGATTGATTGGTTGGGTGATTGATTGATTGATTGATTGGTTGGGTGATTGATTGATTGATTGATTGGTTGGGTGATTGATTGATTGATTGATTGGTTGGGTGATTGATTGATTGATTGATTGGTTGGGTGATTGATTGATTGATTGATTGATTGATTGATTGATTGATTGATTGATTGATTGATTGATTGATTGATTGATTGATTGATTGATTGATTGATTGATTGATTGATTGATTGATTGATTGATTGATTGATTGATTGATTGATTGATTGATTGATTGATTGATTGATTGATTGATTGATTGATTGATTGATTGATTGATTGATTGATTGATTGATTGATTGATTGATTGATTGATTGATTGATTGATTGATTGCTTGATTGATTGATTGATTGATTGATTGA